AAAGGAGAATGTAAAGATATCTTCAAAGAGCTGAAAGAAATGACTGCTATATTTTTCAAAATGAAGGTGAAAAAGGTATTTACATATAATTAAAAATAGAACTTTTATCAGAAAAGATACACTAAAAAAAAAAAAATAATGAAGGCCAGCCACATGCAGTGGCTCCTGCCTATAATCCCAGCACTTTCGGAATCTGAGGCAGGAAGATCGCATAAGCCAGGAGTTCAAGACCAGCCTGGAAAACATAGTGAAACCCTTTCTCTACTAAAAATTTAAAAAGTTAGCCAAGTCTGGTGGTGCACACCTGTGGTCCTAGCTACTCAAGAGGCTGAGGTGGGAGAATCTCTTGAGCCCAGGAGGTTGAGGCTGCAGTAAGCTGTGATCATGCTACTGTACTACAGCCTGGGTGACAGAGTGAGACCTTGTCCAAAAAAAAAAAAAAAAAAAAAAAAGAATGAAAGAAAAGAAAGAAAGAGAAAAGAAATAGTAAAAAAAAATTTACTCAGAAGGAAAGTGTCAGAAAAAAACAATAAATCTGTAAGTCATTAAAAATACAGAAAATTTGAACATGACTAACCAACTTAACCTAATTGACAATACAGAACACTACATCTACTGACAGAATACACGTTCTTTTTAAATGCACATGGACAGTTTACCAAAGCACATCATATACTGGACCATAAATCGAGTTTCAAAAATTTTCAAAGAATTTAGAGTATGTTTTCTAATCACAGAAGAATTAAACAGAAACCAATTATAAAAAAGGTAACTAGAAAAATCCCTAAATGTTTGGAAATTAAACAATATACTTTGAAATAACCTATGAGTAAAAAAGAAATCAGAAGGAAACCTGGAAAAATTTTAACTGATTCATACTAAAAATATAATATATCAAAACTTGTAGCTAAAGCTGTATTTATAGAGAAATTTGTAGCCTTAAACGCATACATTAGAAGATAAATAAAGCTTTGAAAAAGGTAATTTCACTGCCCTTAGGATCAAGTTAAAATTCCTACTATGGTTACAAAGTTCTGCATGGTCTGGCTCATGCTCACTTCTTGGAGCTTCCTCTTTTTCTCTCTTCTCATTCATTACTCTCCAGACATACTGGTCTTTTTTCAATTCCTTCAATAAGTTAAATTGCTTCTTGTCTCAGGGCCTTTGCACATACTAATCCTTCTGTTTAAAATGCTTTTTCCCACCATGTGACATGTTCTTTCTAATTTAGACTCTTTCATGGCACTCATTGCTATAATCAGTTAATTGGGTAACTGCTTGTTGTGCAATTAATTTTAAAACATTGTTTGTCATTCTCCAAATGTTATAAGCTCCTTGCTGGCAGGGACTGCAGCTGTCCTGTTCATCACTGTGTCCCCAGGGCCTAGCATGGTGTCTGGCAAACAGCAGGCACTTTATACATGTGTATTAAATGAATGAATGAATACATGGACATCTAGTTTACCATCTAAGCAAACAGTTTACTCAAAGTTGTTAAAACATACTCCATGGTCTTGGAAGAAAACTCCTCAATATTACTGCTATCAGCAGTTGGCATTTATTTCTATGACATTTATGATGTAATTTACAATATATGTTAATCCAAGAAATATCTCAAAGATTTCTCTTGATGTTTAAGTTAAATAATTTCTAACTGTATACTGCTTCCTGTTTATATATTTGGGAAAAGGAAAAGTGTTTTTATAAACTCAATTTATATATCAAATCCGTTCTACTGTATACCAAGCTAGGTGCTATAAAATAGTGACCAAAATGACTGCCATTATTAACAGTATCTTAGCCCATTCAGGCTGCTATAATAGAGTACTATAGAGACTGGGCAGCTTATAAACAGTAGACGTTTATTCCTCACAGTTCTGGAGGCTGAGAGGTCTAAGATCAAGGCACTGGCAGATCTGATGTCTGGTGAGGGCCCACTTTCTGGTTCACAGATGGTGTCTTCTCTCTGTGACCTCAGCATGGTAGAAAATGAAAGGGAGCTTTCTGGAGTCCCTTTTAGAAGGGCACGAATCCCACTCACGAAGCCTCTACTCTCCTGATCTAAGCACCTTGCAGAGGCCCCACCTCCTAATATCATCACATTGGGAGTGAGGTTTCAACCTTTGAGTTCTGGAGAGACAAAACATTTAGTCCATAGCAAACAGTCACACTAATATCAACAACAGTTGTTGACATCCTAGGTCAACTTTCTATGTGGAATCTTGCTTAATTATCACTTAAAGAGTGTGTCCTGTTTGTTTTGTAGGTGAGGAAATGGGGGCCTGTAGAAGTGAAGTGACTTGCTAAGGGGCGGGGCTGAGGTCTGAGCCCTGGTCAGAGTCCAAAACCCAGGGAGGCTCTGAGACTTCCACCCTGCTGCCATCTTATGTCCAGGTAGGGCCTGCAAGGGACAGCAATGATGCAAAGACAAACAAAGGAAGAGCAACTCCAGCCCTGCCACAGAACTAGCTGTGACCATGGACAAAAGGAGTTATTTGACCTCTCCAGACTCTTCACTTCTATGTGAAACTAACAAGAGTAAATATAGAATGGAGTTGAAATGCCTTGCAGAGTACTTACTGCTTGTAAATAGTGGTAATTATTATCAAGGGATGCTGTAAACAAACACACAAAAAACCCTTATGCTTCACTCAGATTAAAAATACATTCACATCCATCCCACCTTGCCTTCGGGGGATATGAGGATGAGAAAGGCTATGACAATAAAGCCAAATTAACAAAGGGGCTGCCCAATGATGGTGGGCCACTTGGCAGGTGACAAGCATTATGGTTATCAACAGAAAGCTGCCTAGCTTCTCCCCCAGTGCATCTTCTCCTTGGTAGGTGGGTCCTGGCTCCAGGTAAAAAGGGAGGGGCTGTTGGCCCTGAAAGAAGCTGCTTGGGTAAGAGAAGGGGCAGCAGCTGTGGCCTGGCCCACCTCCAGGGATCACATCCATGCTGTAGCTGTCACTCATCAGCCTCTTTGATGTGGCTGCCACCACAGCTCTCCTTCTCAATGTTCTGTGATTCCAGGTATTTCTCAGCCCCAGATGAACAGGACGTACCAGGGGGAACCCTTCAGAAACAGGTCGAGGGCTGGCCATCAGTGGGGGCAGGCTGTCTGTGTGTGGGGTGGCTCATACCCTGCAGGGCAGTGCAGCACCCTCCAACTCCTGGATGCAGGCAGCCTTGGTGCTCACTCACTCAGGTTCTGTGTGGTCCCAGCATCAGCAGGGCTGTGCTTCTATCTCAACACCTGTCCTTGTCTCTATCTGCCTATTGGAAGATTCTCTTCCTCCCAGGCTCCTAGTATTGCTACAGGACTTGAAATTTCAGGATAATTGGTCTTCTTTTTTTTTTTTTTTTTGAGATGGTGTCTCGCTCTGTAGACCAGGCTGGAATGTAGTGGCACAATCGCAGCTCATGCAACCTCCACCTCCCAGGTTCAAGTGATTCTTCCACCTCAGCCTCCCAAGTAGCTGGGATTACAGGCATGTGCCACAACATCCGGCTAATTTTTGTACTTTTAGGAGAGATGGGGTTTTACCATGTTGGCCAGGCTGATCTCGAACTCTTGACCTCAGGTGATCTGTCCACCTCGGCCTCCCAAAGTGCTGGGATTACAGGTGTGAGCCACCACATCTAGCAAAATTTCAAGATAATTATTTTCTCTTCCCCAAACTCATTCTTAAATGGCTCTGCCACAATATATAGTATCCCCATGAGCTTTAGGTGTTTAGTGTTCAAGAAGAAAACCCCTACACTAAGCCTGGGCAACATGGTGAAACCCCATCTCTACAAAAAATACAAAAATTAGCTGGGCGTGGCACACACCTGTGGTCTCAGCTACTTGGGAGGCTGAGGTGGGAGGATCACCTGAGCCCAGGAGGTCAAGGCTGCATTGCGCCATGATTGCGCCACTACACTCCAGGGCCCACACAGTGAGACCCTGTCTCAAAAAAAGATCCCCAAACCAGCCTACATTGTTGCCCGTCCTATTCTGTGCCTTTGGATCTATACTGACTATTCGTCTGTCCCCCCTGTCCTTCTAGCTCCTCACAGTTCTCTGCACAGCTGTTTTTACAAGTATCATGCAAACCTGTCTCTGACACTTCTTTCTCATGAGGCCAGACCCACTGCTCACAACTCTGTGCCCTGAGGGCTGCTGGGTGAATTGCCCCAATTCACTCTTGGGAGGGAGCAGCCTTCCCAGGGAGTGGATGGAGTTGGTGGTAGCCCCTCGGCTAATTTATGAAGGTCTCTCAGGTCCATAGAGACCAACTTCACACAGAGAACCCATAAGACCCAATTCCTTCCAGCAAGGATCACTTTCTGACCTTCCAGGGAACTGTACTATTGACTGAGTAGAGCCACATTGGTACTGGGCACACTGTGAGCACCTCCCTGCTCCTGAGTCCTCAATGGATTGTACAGGAGCACCACAGACAGGGGACAGAATGCTGACACTTAGGACTGTGTGATCTGAGCAAGCCAGCAGCTCTCTGGGCCTCAGTTCCTCTGGGCATGAAGCGTGGGCCACCCCGAGCAGGAGTGCGCACAGGGTGCACTGCACGCACCTGGCACAGGAAGCATTGAGAGGGGATACCTTCCCCTGAAAACCCCTCCACAGTCAGAGGGGAGAGAAGCCAGCAGAATTCCTGCCCCAACTCCTTCTGGGGCCTGACAGCCAGTTCCTCAGCTAGATACACAAGGAAAGGAGCCCCTGCTCACCAGACACTGGGCCCTGAAAATAACTCTGCAAGTCTACCTCAGCCCCAATCCAATTTGCCAAGGAGCTAGATAAGACCTGAGTGCTAATTTGGCCAATTACAGATGACCAATGGCTACCTCAGATCCAGGTGAGAGAGCTGAGGAACAGATGGTTGTGTGTATTATTAGGGAAACTTGAAATTAGGCAGGTGGTGGCAGGTTTCTAGCCACATGTGGGAATTTTTACAAATGTGGGCCAAGTTTACAAAGAATAATAAACATATTCTTACTTTATTGTGCTCTCCATCTTCGAAGCTGCCTCATGGAATTGCTGTGAAGACAGTTTATACATCTCAGCATTCTACAAGGAGAAAAACAGAACTGGTTACCAAAGACTGAAATTTCCCTCTGCTCCCTCATAGGATGCAACCACATTAGAAATTGACAGATGCTAATTTCTTGACCGGCATCAAAGCCGACTGGTGATTAATCCACAGCTTGGGTTCCAGCTCCACCACACATGGCTGCTGCTACAGAATCCTACAGTAGCAATGGCTGCAAGTGCGTTATGAGATCCTCTAGCTCAGGGGTTAGCAAACCACGATTTATGAGCAAAATCCGGCCTGCCACCTGTTTTTGTGAATAAGGTTTTACGGGCACACAGCCACGCTCATTTGTTCACGTATTGTCTGTGGCTGCTTCTGTGCTACAGCTATGATAGAGACTACATGGCCTACAAAGCTTAAAATACTTACTATCTTTAAAGAAAAAAATTGCTCAGTCTTGATCTGGTCCAACCCCTATTTTACAGGTAGACTTTCCTTCCCAGAGAAGTGAAATGACTTGTCCAAAGTCACAGAGCAATGGGGCAGTGTCAGGACTACAACCCAGGTGTCTGGATTCCCAGTCTGGGACACACTCTGCTACCTACCCTGACCACCCTACTTATTGGAACAGGAATCATCTGCCTAGATTGTTGAGGGGAGCATCCACAGGCACACACTTAATTTGTCCTGAGATCACCCAGTACGTGTGCACCTACAGACCTAGGTTTGTGGAGGGAAGGCCCAGGCCTGGGGGCAAAACACAGCTGGGTCTAAGTCCTGATGCCACCACCATGTGGCTGTGGGTAGGTTATGGAACTTTGCTGTGCCTCAGAGGCAAGCTGCTCCAGGCCACAAAGGCCCAGGCCCACATCTTCCTTTCTTTGTGAAGCTCCAGCACCTTCGCATGTTCTGAGGGGAGACGGACATTAACACATATGCTAGCAGCCTCCCGCCGTGCTCCAGGTGGGAGTGTGGTGAAGCCCACACATGGACATGTAGGCAGCAGGGAGAAGGCCAGCCTTGGGCTGACTCATGAGGAAGCAGTTTCAGAAATGAAACAACCTGAGGTGGGGCAGGGCCCGTGGTCAGACCTCCCCAGTGCGGGTGAGGAAGGCGCAGCAGATGTCACATGGAGTTGGCTTGAGGTCAGATCTTTTGCAGACAACCACATCTACTCCTCAAAGCCTCACATGGGCACTTTGGGAGGCTGAAGTGGGTGGATCACCTGAGGTCAGGAGTTCAAGACCAGCCTGGCCAACATGGCAAAACCTCATCTCTACTAAAAATAAAAAATTAGCTGGGTGTGGTGGCAGGCGCCTGTAATCCCAGCTACTTGGGAGGTTGAGGCATGAGAATCGCTTGAACCTGAGAGGTGGAGGTTACAGTGAGCCGAGACTGCCACTGCACTTCAGCCTGGGCAACAAGAGTGAAACTCCAAAAAAAAAAAAAAAAAAAAAAAAAAAAAAAAAGCTCATACAGGCAGCATGATTATCCCTGTTCTACAGATAAGCAAATGGGAGCTTCAGGCCTCAGGTACCTACTGAAGGCACAGATCAGTCAGTCATTGAAACACGCTTGTGTGGCAGTGAAGGAACTTTAGAGCTGCATTGCCTTGCACATTTATAGGACTTCAGCTAGGCTCTCTCTGCCCACTAGGCACACAGCTAGCCTGGCTGAAGCTGGGCAGACAGGAAATGAGAGGTGCGCAGGGGCAGAGCTACTCAGGGAAAGCATTTCCTGTGCACCATGGACCCCCTCAGCCTTCTACAGGGAAGGTAACTGAGGCAAGGATGGACCCCTACCTCCACTCCATGCAAACGCCCTTCCGCCACAGCCTGGGTGGGGATCGCTTAGCTCTGTCTGAAGTTCCCCTTCATGAGACCTCATCAGGAGACGGCATGGACCACAGACCCACATTTTGATTTGTGCTTTGGCATATGCTGGTGGTGTTCTTTGGGTAAGTCACTTCTCTTAACAGCAACACAGGGTATTACCCAGCCTGCAGTTAGCGGAGAGACAGTTTGGCACACAGCACCCACCTCAGCCCACCACAGCCACTGAATTTTCCAGAGCTAAAATATGCCTCATCCTAAGCCCCGCCCCCCACAATTCATCCTGGCCTACTTCCTTTCCCACAAAACAACCTCATGGCTCAGGCCTTCTCTTTGAGCCAAACCCCTCTTCCTATGGCTGTGCCCACAGGACTCCTGAGTGTCAGGTCACCGTCCTGCAGGCCCAGGCACCTGTTGCCGACCTTCTCAGAGAGCGAATCCTTGACCCAGATGGGCTCGGCCCGCTGTGGGCTTCAGGAGACACTCAGAGACTATGCTCAAGATGCCATACTGCCAGAAATAGCCTGGCTCTGGTGAATTTGGATAGCGCTTGGGTTTGACTGCAAGCTCAGTTTGAACATGTGGTCAACTTGATTTGTCACAGGAAGTACCCACAGGCCAAGAAGTGGCGGTGATTACCCTGCTGCAGCTTCCTCTATTGTTCCTCAGAATGACTCAGAGAAATTCCCCATCCTGTCCTGTCCTGACCTGCCTACCCTCCTCATCTAATCTGCCTGAGCAGACCTACAGGGACGGATGTCCTCACAACCGCAGCTCCCTTGGCACTCGAAGGTCTCCGATTCACAACTTGGGACTACCGAGCCGGCTTCCTGTGTTCACAAAGCTGCTCATCCATCAGGCCTTTCCAAGGCTGCTGGACCCAGACTCCCTCTTCTGGGGAGGCAGGGCACTCTGTGGACTCCTCAACCAATCACCAGGTCAGGGCATCTAGAAGGACTGGACACTACCAACGTGCATACTGAGAACACGCCAAGTGCCAGAGGGTTCTGAGACAAGTGTGGCTTGCTCCCTGGCCTCGTGGAGCTCTGAGATGGTGGCATCATAATTACAATGGGGCACTCAGCCAGTCATCCTAGGTGCTGTGGGGCACCTGAAAGGACAGCCTGGCAGAAACCATGGGTCAGACTGACTTCCTGGGAGCCAATACCTAACTGAGGCTTAATCTTTTTTATTTACACTAAAGAATGTTTTTGAAAAGTACTTACATATGGTTTTAAAAAACAAAAGTGGAAAGCATGGAGGGTATGCAGTGAACAGTGAGCCTCTTGGCCAGTCTGGACTCAGCCCTCAGTGTGTGTGAGCACACACGTGCCCCACTTGTTCCTGACGCTCACTGGACTGCAGCAGACACAATGTGCCACACCTCATCTTTCCACTGATCCTCAGAGACCTCACCCACTCTGGCTGACCAGCACTTAGTAGTAGGAATGAATACTTTGTAGTATCATCCCTTGAGTATCAGTCAAGCAGCTACCCATCCTTGTACAGAGGTCATTTCTAGTCTTCTACTATTATAAACAAAGCTAAGAGGAACATCTTGGCATCTAGAACTTGGTGCCTAAGTATATCCGTAGGGAACATTGTAGAAGTCAAATTCTTGGGTCAAAGGGTATATCCATTTTAATGAATTTTAAAGGATGAGCAGAAATGAGCCAAATGAGAGGGAGGTCTCCTGAACATAGGCAGTAGTGCGAGGAGCCTGGGGCTGCCACAGGGCTGTGTATGGGGCAAGAGATGCCACTGCTGCTGCAGAGGCACAGGGCAATGGCCAGAAGGGGATGTGGAGGACACCAGCTGTAGGCTCAAAAGCTTGGACTGCACCTCATGGGCAATGAGGGTGAAGAAGGCTTTCCTTTCTCAGTGATGGAGGGGCAGGGAAGATTTTTTTTTTTTTTTTTCCTGAGGCAGGGCCTCACTCCTGGCTGGAGTGCTGTGGTTGATCATAGCCCACTATAACCTCGACCTCTGGGCTCAAGCTATCTCCACCTCAGAGCCACCCCAGTAGCTGGGACCACAGGCATGCACCATCCTGCCCAGCTAATTTTTGTACTTTTTATAGAGAGAGGGTTTCGCCATGTTGGCCAGGCTGGTCTCAAACTCCTGGGCTCAAGTGATCTGCCTGCCTTGGCCTCCCAAAGTGTTGGGATTATAGGTGTGACCTACTGTGCCCAGCTGATTTGTGTTTTTAAAAGAACATTCTGGCAGCTGTGTGGACGATGGCGTCCAGTTCTCCCTGGCTAGGCCATCAGTTCTAGAGAGCTCCTGGAACCCTGCAGCACAGTGCCTGGGAAGGCAGCGTGACTGTGCCTGTAAAGGAGCCCTGCTGCCCACTGAGAGACACTGGGAAACTTCTCTGAAGTGCACTCTACCGAATTCTCACACATTAACTAGCACCCAGTGACCAGGGACTTTCCCGTCGGACTCTTTTGTTTCCCAAATTTGCAGTCTTTTCCTCTGCCCTGTAAACAGCTGCCCCTCCTCCTCCTCCAGCTGCCCCACATGCACATCTGAAAGCAGGAGGCCTGGCCTCCATTAATTAAATCTGCCATTAAAAATTAAATAACGTGAGTAAGAAGGTGTGAGTGTTATCTCCATGGGTTTCCAAAGTCACAGTGTTTCTTCAATTACTTCCCGAGCAGTTTTCATATTTCATACTGTCTGATTTCTCCAAGGGCCTGGATCTGTGAGATCAAAAGCAAGGGTGAGGGTGAGGGAAGCATGGTGAGGAGTCCAGGGAGGAGAAGATGACAAAATATGTCTGAGCAGAAGAGATCACCCGGCAGCCCCTGCCCCAAAGCCAGAATCCAGGTGCGGGGCGGGAGGAAGAAGGACATGGGGCCCAGAGGTCTGAGGGGAACCCCCATAACTATAGAGCAGCATGGGACCAGTGCATTAAGGTGTGTGTAATCACAGATGTGAAGACAACAGAGTCTACTCTGTGGAGGCTGGGGAGAGCAACTTTTGGACTGGAGCCCCGAAAGACACCCCCCACCCACCTCCCGAGTTAAGAGCAGTCATTCACAGCTTACGGTGTGCACAGGCTATGCTGGGCGCCATAGGAGAGAAGGAGCCTAAAAGGGTCATAACACTTGAGGATTTACGTCTAATAGCAAAGAAAGAACCAAGGTCTCAGGAGCAGTCCAAGAACAGAGCGGCAGCACAGGGCAGCAGCAACGTGTGCA